ACTGGCATTTGCATTACAAAGCAGATAACAATCGCTAGTGCATCGCGAATCTCAATGCGACAGGCTTTACCCTCAAAGAATTTGCCACAAGCAGGATTGATAATGTTGCGACACGATATGCTACCTTTTTTATTCGATCTCGAAGTCGAGCATCTCCAAACCCACTTCAATTTTTTCGCTGGAAACTCTTCAACTTTCATGGGTAAATCGCAACATTTTGGAGGCGTAGAGTTGCGCGATGGAATTAAGCCAATATCTTCGACAAACTGGATCGTGATTTCGTTCGTTGGGAGCAGCTTCTTGAATGAATGGAAAATCGAAATAATTTGCCAATTTAAAATGAAGATTAGGATGTACACTTATTTACACAAAACTTTAACAAAGACTTTAACAATACACAAACAATACTTCAACAAAAAACTTTAATAACTTTAACAAAGACTTTAACGATGCACAAACAATACTTTAACAAATACTTTAACAAATGCTGTGTGAAAAATTGGCAAAACAATCGAGTTGATGCGTGTCGTTAGTAAGCTTACTAAGAACTGATTAATTTTGAAAATATAAACAATCGTTAGAACTAACATGTTCAAATTATTAATTTAAATTTTTTATTGTTGCCACGAAATCTAAAAAATAAGAAACCGAAGTAGGAACGTGTTGCATGCACATATTGATAATAAAAGGAAAATGTATGTAGTGAAATAAAAGAAAATATTAATTTCATAATTTTTTTATTAATACTTTATTTTTTATCAAACATAAATACTGCAACCAGAATGCAACTAGAATATTTTAAAACAGTTCAGTTCAGTTTTGTAAATTTTTTATTGACATTTAATGATACATTATGCTGCCAGAACACTGTAGTCTTTGGCGCGAAATACAAAAATACAGATATTTTACATCTAAGATTAAAGCTTAATCTAGGTACAAAATATTTAAATAAATGAATCACAATATAATTTAGATAAAACGCTAGGTGAACAATATTATAATATTAAGGATAAATTATACATGATAAATTATAAACAGGTATATACTTATAAATTAAAGTGCGTATTTATAGAATTATAATCATATGTTTATGTCTATTTTGTTTATAAACGAAGAGAAAGCATACATAATGTTTGGTTCATTCTTTGACAAGAGTGCAGTAAGATTAAAGGGTTCGAAATAGTTAAGAGAATGAAGTTGTGAAATAAGCTCTTTTCTTTCTTTTGAATATTTTTTACAATGCCAGAAAATGTGATCGATGCTTTCAATTTGTCGAGTTTCACAGTTACATAGATTTTTATCAACAATTTTATACCTAAACAAATGAGATTTGACTGAAGAGTGATTGCATCTGATCCGGTTAATAGATACAATAGCCCTTCTGTTTAAAAATTTTTGGTTTATAATAGTGTTTGAAATATTCAACACCTTTGCTTAGCGCTACATTCAATAATTCTTTGTGTTCTTCGCGAATACATCTATGTTTAAGTTCTGAGAAGATGTTGGTGAATGGTATATCGGCGTACATTATTCTCCCAGATTCAGCTGCGATCTTTGCCGCAGAGTCCGCATTCTCGTTGCCCGTAATCCCTATATGGGAAGGGACCCATATAAGTTCAACTATTTTTTGGTTTAGGTGGCATTCATACAGTTTCTCTCTTAACTTCGCAATGAGAGCAGAATTATTCTGTGAGCTTTTTGATGACTGCAAGGCTTTAAGCACCGATTCTGAATCTGTATAGATTCTAATTCTTTTCTCGGGTGAGTTCAAAACTTCATCTAACACGGCGATGATAGCGAGGGACTCTGCGGTAAAAATCGAAGTTAAATCGTGGATTTTGAAACTTATGTTGAAATTATCTTTTTCTGACCAAGATGCGAAACCTGTTTGACTTTTATAATTATTTTCATTGATTGCATCTAGAGATAATTTCGATCCATCTGTGTAGATGTGAACGTAATTAGTATCGTTGAACTTATTCATAAATGTACAGAGAGAATCTTTGGCTTTGGTAAGAGCTTTGTTAGAGTTTAAATCTATGGTAGGTATGAAGAGTGATGATCGATAGGAAAAGTTGTATTTAAAAAACTTATCGTGTTTAATTATTGATAAATTAAAAAACCATACATTTTCATAACACTCAGTTAATAAGGACTTAGTGTGATTATGGGAGTATTGAAAGGAATCGTGAAGTTCTTTTAGTGTCTCTAATTGGTCAATAATTATATTTTTATGGTGTGAAAGTGGCTTTAACAAGTATTTAAAACATAGGATTTTGAATCTATATAACAGCGAGGGAATCTTTGTTTCAGCCGTGATAACATTCAATGGGGTACTATTCTGATAACCCATAGCCATTCTTAGACACATGTTTTGAATTTTGTTTAATTTATCCAAATTAGCAGAGGAACACGGGTGGATCAGAAATCCTCCATACTCCAGTCTGGATCTTATTAGGGATTTATGTAACATTAAGAGGGTCAGGGGGTCGCCACCCCACCATGTACCCCTTAAACAGCTAATAATATTGATTGCTTTATGACTCTTTAAAATAGTATCATGTATGTGTGGTTTCCAGCTGAGTTTTTTATCCAGGGATATACCCAAAAAACGAGCTGAGTTTGATGGATGAATAAGTGTGCCGTTCAGATTGAAGGATAGGTATTCTAACTTACTGTTATGTTTATTAAAAATTACTAGTTGGCTTTTATCTGGAGCAATTTCGAGGCCCCTTGATTTAAGGTGAGCGTTCAATCTCGCAGCAGAGTTTTCTAAGCTGAATAGGGCATTACCTGGTTTTTTATCTGATACATAAATCGCAATATCATCCGCAAATTGGAGAATCTTCACTGGATCGTTAACAAATTGATTGTTTGAACGAGTGTATAATGAATAAAGGATTGGGCTTAAAACACTCCCTTGAGGTAAACCTTTGTTTACTACACGGGCTGGACCAAGATGGCAGTCGATCGGTAAAAGAGATCTTTTGTAAATAAGATTGTAGATAAATTTAATGAGTTTTGATGGCAGTTGGAGGTTTTATAATTCGGCGATAAGAATGTCTGGAATGACATTGTCAAAGGCGCCTTTAATATCGATAAATAGAGCGGCTAAACTCTCTTTTCTGTAGAAAGATTGATGAATGTCATTAGTTAAAATCGCTACATTGTCAGTACAAGATTTACCTTTTCGGAAACCAAATTGAGTTTTAGGTAATATATCCTCTGTTTCGGCCCAATAATGTAAACGAGAGTTTATCATCCGTTCAAGAACTTTTAACTCCACGCTTCGGGAAATATGCCCGTGTCATAAATTTCATTTAGTATGTCTAAAAGAACCCTAACATAAAATTCAGGTAGGTATGAAAGAATTTCGTATGAAATTTTGTCAAGGCCTGGGCTTGATTTGATATTAGCTGAGGCAATAGCCTGGGTAATCTCTTCAAAGGAGAATGTCTCTGCTAGGATATGATTTTCTGGGGCCGAAGAATGGCATGAATCGCATGGATCTAAGACTAAGGAAGGTGGAATAAGAGATGTGTCTTTTGGGGTACAAAGGTTATTTAGTGTATCATTGGCTTGTTTTAAAAGATTAGAATTTTCATTTGAGGATTTGGGGCGATTAAAGCCATTTTTAAAAATTTTTATCTTTGACCAAACACTAAATATTTTTGTATTTCTATTGATAGAACTACAAAAGTTTCTCAAAGATTTCTTTTTTTCCTCTTTTAGAGTACGTCTCGAGAGAGCACAGGTTTTTTTATAATCGATATACATATCCATATTACAACGAAATTTGAACGAGGTTAATTTAGCTTTTCTTAGTCTAACTGCACGATCACACTCCTCATTCCACCAAATGCAATTATTCTTTGCTTTCTAAATAAAATTAGGTTTCGTAGACCTGTTTATAGTTTTATCTTTAACTCTTTGGTTATCGCATGGTAAACAATTTGTAATACAATTATCCAGAGTACTTATAAAAGTATCATATTTATTTATCACAGGAGAGTTGAGATACGTTAAGCTATTGAAAACACTTTTATTTATTTCGAGCTCCTCAAGAAAGCTCTCCCACCTCATTTTTTTGAGATTGTATCTGTAGTCAATCTTTCTATTATGGCAAGTATCAATTTTACCACTGATAACAACAGGGAAGTGGTCACTTCCTCAGCTGTCATCGAGCACCTTCCAATTGCAGAGATTCAAATATAAATTAGCCGAAATAAACGTTAAATATATACTAGAGGTAGAGTACCTGTTATTAATTATTGAAAAATGGGTTGGAGAGCCATCGTTAAGAAGGATAAAATTGTCTTCAAACACTAGAGATTCGTAAATCACATTGCCATAAGGGCATGAATATGTGCTTCCCCACCAGGGGTGATGAACATTAAAATCTCCCAAGAGTATGAATTTGTCAAAAGTTTTGGTTAAATTAACTATATAACTCCATTCTTTTTCCCACTCTGCAAGAGTGTTGCCTACAGTGTAGGTAGGACTTCTGTAATATGTAATAAGACTGATTGGACCTTGGGAGGTTTCAATACTTATCACACCTACTTCTGTTTGAATAAGGTTGACATCCAAGTGTACAGTATAATATTTGAAATATTTTTTTAAGAGTATGGCCATACCACCACCTCTTGTATTTGTATCTCTATCAAACCTAACAATATTGTAACCTTTTGTCTGGTATGTATCTTCATCGTTTAAAAACGTTTCACTAAGAACTATGATATCGTATTGAGAAAATAATTTAACAGCTTCAACTTTACTTCTAATGCTTCTAGAGTTCCACTGAAGGATACTCAGATCAGCATAGTGAGTATTATTATTATTATTAACCATTTTAATTGTAAATAAAGTAAGTAAAAGTATATGAGTATGTTATACAGGTGAATTGGACTTTTTCTTTGTTACTAAATAAATGAATATTGAGCATAAGAAGTAATGATGAGTCTGTAGGGGAAGATACAAATACCAATTAGGCTTACTGTTCAAGACTCACGAATAGAGCCGTTCTTGATTCTATCGCTAAGTTTCTTCGTAGTAGCCATGAGTCTCAAGTTGTCCTTCTTAGGTGGTTTATTTGATGAAACCTCGCTTAGGATTGAGAGGGAGTCTTGTGATAAATTACTGTTGTCCATGGGAAAGGTGATGTTAGAAACATCCATTTCATTTATCTCTGCAACATCTTTGTAAGTCTCTGCTTGGTTATAAATATTTGAATAAGATGGCTTGTGTATATTAGTCCTATTGGATTGATTCGACATTCTAGGAATTCTAGATTTGGCGTTGTCCAGGGTTGGGAAGTTTTCTTTGGTCTTCATAACGGTATTGGCATTGCTGGAAGTGTTCTTCTTAGGAACAACCAGAGCTCTTGCTTCAACAAAGCTTAAATTTTCATATGCCATTTGTATGTTAATTTTTTTTTGTTCTATCATTTTAGGACACTTAGAACTAATGCTAACATGATTGATTTCATCAGGGCTCAAAGAATCATCTGCTTTACAGTTAGCACATCTTGGTGTGGTAGTTTGGCATGGTAAATTAGGGTGTTGTAGTTCACCACAATTAAAGCAAACTGATTTGCCTCTACATGTTTTTGTTATATGACCAAATTTCAGGCAGTTATAACATTGCATAACGTTTTGTACATAGGGTTCGACCTTGGCACGAACGCCCCATATGTATATATAACCAGGTAAGTTTTGTCCCTCAAAAGACAGGACAACAGATCTTGTTGGAACCCATTTCTTTTCTTTGTCTGTTTCATTTTTCACTTTGCTTATGAGTCTTCTCACATCAAGAATGTTGATTGTGTTTAATCCTTTAACACCTTCTAAGATTTCATCTTCACTGAAGTCAACATCAATGCCTCTTATAATGCCTTTTCTAGACTTGCGAAAGCCTGGAACATAGGCTTCGAGATTGTAGTTACGCAATGACTTATTGTTAGCCAAGTCGTTAGCTTGTTCTCTGTTCAAGAAGATGATCTCTACTCTTGAGCGGCCTCTTCTATATATTTCCTGAATACTGGGGTATAACTTGTAGACTAGACTACCAATTTTGAATTGGCTAACTTCTGCATTAGGAATGAGGCTCCTGACCTGGACACTATAAGGGCCAGGGATGTTTTCCCTATAGAAAATTTGTGGCTTAGTATTATCCATATCTTGACTGTATCCTTGATTATTTGCTATTTTTTCATTTTGTCCTTTTTCGTTGTTGGTGAGATCATCACCTTTATTCCTGCGTTTGGAGTCTGATTGTGGATCACCTTGTAAAGGTCTTTTATTATTGTTCAATTTATTCTTATGCTTAGACATGTTATCGATTTGTTGTATATCTTCAATAAGATTAGGCGTGTCGGCTATCATCCCAAGCATGAGCCCGAACGGCCCCGAGGGGCGAGAGGTTAGTTTTGCACAGAAGATGTATCGACTATTGTTTACTCACTTGAATAAAAAGTATATTGAATGTTTAAGAATATTGTAGACTAAGTTAAACTCCAATGCAATGCAGTGTAAAATCGTTTTGTTTTCCTTTGGTTTGCAATCGAAAAGATATTCTTTCTCCGGATAATTCAACCAGTCTCCATCCTCAGAGGAATCCGACCCCTCGCTTTCCAATCATTTTAAAACAGTTCAAATATCAAGTTTTAACGCCCTCTGTTGGAATTCATCATAACCTCGCTGTGCCACGGATATCGTAATCGTGCCGAAATATCGAATTAACAGTAGTGTTTGAGCGAAAAACTAAAAATTATTGAAAAAAAATTGCTTGTTTGAACTTTTCCATGGACTACAGTAATTAGTTGATCAAAATGTAACATACACCATCGCAAAGTACTCTTTTTAACGATTAATTAAAAAAAAAATAGAGCTCTGCCCGACTATTTTTTCGCCCAGTAAGTCGTTTTGAAAGTACCATTTGTGTACACAAAATGGCCAAAAAATCATGTCGATTTCAGCTAAACGAGGAATTTTATGTGCTTTAAATGGTACCTTCAAAACGGTCTGCAAGGCGCAAAAATAGTCGTACAGAGCTCTATTTTTTTAAATTAATCGTTAAAAAGAGTACTTTGCGATGGTGTATGTTAAATTTTGATCAACTGATTACTGTAGTCCATGGAAAAGTTCAAACAATCAATTTTTTTTCAATAATTTATTATGTTGCTCTCAAACACTACTGGTAACTCGATATTGACTTGAATCCATGTATAATATATACATATGGATTTATAGAGGACAAAATTTCCAAGAAATCAAAAAAAAAATCGTCTCGGTACGATCAAAATAGAGGAAGACAAATGCATTTGCACATTTGCGTGACGACAAAAAAATTTAACAATATCAGACGCTATATGAATGGTACATTTTAAATAAATTTGATGGTGAACTTTTTGACGAAAGCAAACACTAAAATACAACTTTTACGTATATTTAGGATGCGAAAGAAATATTTCTCTCTCTTTTTACTCACTTTTTACTGCGTGGCGACATGAGACATTTATTTACACAAAAGTCGTTTCAGTTCGTTCTTACGCTGTAAAAATCGGTTTACGATGCGAACGAAGTTCGGACAACCGCGCAATAAGGTGTCATTATATATGGGTCAAAATAATACTTTTTTGAATTTTTGTCCGCACGTATGTCACCGATCTTGACGCGCTTTTGGTATGTTATAGTACATGGTAAAAAAGTGCCAAACCCAAAATTTGGGACCCCCTCCCCTCTCCTACCCCCCTCCTATATAAACATCTATTTTCTATCTATATTTTTTCTGAAGGCTTGAAGCAATTAAAAAATCTGAAAAAATTCACTGACAATCACCCTTTTATATTTCCCTTGTAAAATAACGAAGGTGATTAATAAAAAGCTACATTTATTGATATTTTGTATTATGATGATTACTCTTACGGTTTGAAATTTCATTCTAGTACAATGGAAGTAACATTAACTGAATATGAAGAAAATCTCTGCTTCGATCTTGATGATCCAGATTTTGCACCAATATGCTCGCGAAGTACATCACATGGAGTTTTCCGTGGAGTATCATTTGGCGGAGGAATGTCTATAAACGTAAAAAAATGTGAGTGTTAAAAGATGTAATCCATTGTTAAAATAGACGATGTTAATAGTAAAAGATAGATATAAAATATTTAAAGACAAAAATTGAAAACTGATGCCATCAAGAGCGCACGTTTTCGTCATGTCTATTGTTATAACCATGAAAATGTTAATTACATAATAACAAAACCAGAGTCTCTTATTTTTGAGGTCGTTCCTTTCGACGATGCCATTAATATTTTATAAATGTTTTGCCGTCTTACAAGAAGACCACATCTTTTTTTTTTTTTTCTTAACTCCATTTTATTAACACAATCTATCATACATGATATTAAGTGTAATTTTTACGAATAATACTTAGCAGAAAAAGAAAATGGTATCGATTTACAAGCACTCCATTGAGTGGCTCACAACATTTTTACAAAGGATATTTTTTAATTTAATTTTTACATGATTGTGTAAGCGTGTGGATAGAGTTATAAGTCGAATTTATATTTCTTCAACCTGGAGTTGCAGCAAGTGTTCCTAGTGAGCAGTTTTTTAGCAAGCTGGTTCGGATGATTTTTCAGCCTTGCTTTATACCTGGTGTGAAAGCAAGGATACCACATGAGATGCGGGTCACCAAATGTCCTGAAAAATTTTTCCCCCGATACCTAATAATGAAGCCCTCAATGTTTAATTTGATCCAATGGGCCTTAGGGCCCACTTTAAAAATCATTTTTTAATTTATGAAAAAATCTTTGCGATTTTGTAACTCGTAACAGGACATCTGAAACAAAAAAATTGTGAATTTCACAAATCTTAGAATTAGTCATGTAATACATCTGAATTTGGTCAGAATGTTTAAAACCTGCTATCACCTATTTTCAAAGGCCCAAATTTGATGTGTTTTTACGTTTTTCTTAAGAAATTCAGAGAAAATTCTAGGAAAAGTAGCTGGAAAACTGCCATGGTGTGAGACTCTACAAACGATGCGTATCTTAATGTTTTCGACGCTCAGGAATCCGAATATGACATTATTTTTTACCTCAACCCCCGGGTCACTTATAGCACTTGTATCATAAATTACTATTATTTCTACTGCCTTCCTATACTTCTCACTTCGGCCGCTAAGGGGCCACGAAGCAAGAATTGTGCTCCCTCAAGTGACTGGACCCCACCAACGCTTAAGACTCAGGCAGATCTGAAAGGAACTACCAGCCTACTTCGCAACTCCACCTCAGCTCGGAAGCATAGCAAAGCTTGGAACTTCGGCCTCGCTTGGAAGGACTCTCGAGTCAGACTTTCTGCCGCGCTCATGCTGCCTTCTTCAAGGATAGTCAATATTGCCGACTCCAAGCTCCACCACTAAACCCGCGCATATCAGAAATATTAATGAAGATATATTTATTTTATGCATTTCATAAATTATTCAACAAATTTTATGGACACAGTTGATTAACACGTCTATGATGAATTGTACATAGTACATTATCAGCAGCGTCCTAATTTTCTTTATGGCAAGGTTGATGATATGATCGATCAGACCTACAAGTTCGGATCCATTTCCGTACTTTTTGTTCCATTTATACAAATAAATTATTAAGAATATTATCTTAAATTCATAATTAATATAAATAAATCGATTCCAATTTAATTACTTCTTTATCTTCTTTTTTTAAATATTTTCTACTGTTTCAATTATTTTGCGTTCCATATTTATGTATAATGCTGCATAAACCACTAAAACACAACTTACTTCTTCGATACTGCACGTTTAACTGTCGATGGTATGAACTTACCAATACTAATATCATACGACTACTCACAAACGTATATGCTAAAGCTTACTAGCAGATATAATCGTATGCTTAAGTAGATACAAATTAACATTCTAATGTGGACACTAACAATATAAATGTACAATTTGTTTAAATATTTAAACTAAAATAATATTCTGCAACGGAATTTACTTGGTTTGGTTTACATTATTAGTCTTTGGTTTTCTTTTTGATCCGTACGTCTTTTTTCCATCTTGTAAACTTCCATTTTAAGGTACATTGTTATTTCTATATATCTATAAAATAAGTATAATCGTGTTGAAAAACGTAAATACTAGCAATTAAAATCATTTTATCATTGTATCTTTGGTTTCGCGCAAGTGCGTTACGAATTGGGCAGCAAATCGAATAACTTGAACACTTTCGAATTTGAATCGATTACACATGGCAGTTTTTTTCTACATTTAATTTACTCCAAACTTGCTCAACTTTACAGAGCAACTTTACAGAGATATTCGAAGCAATTATCATTTTCTTTTTAGTAATTTAAAATTTTACTCTAAAAGATATCAACTGTTTTTTCTTCAGTGACTTCAGAAGAAAATTTTCTTTTCATTAATAACTCCCGCTGTTCTTTAATTGTATCACAATCTAATGCAAACTGCAGAAATTCCTCGATCAATCGTAAGTAGCGTCAATAGGTTATTAGGTCACGAGGTAAAAAAACTTCTGGGGGAAGACGTTCATCGCGCTTGCACGCGAGATCGTAATTATATAACAGAAAAGCTTACTCACCATTCCATCAATGACTTGACAATCAAGTAGGTCGTCGAAAGCATGTAGACACTGACCCATGGTACGTAGCAGCCTCTAATTTGCCTGACGAGTGTTGACACGCTCTTCGCAGAGAGATTCTTCAAATCGACGCGGTGATCGGCGACGAGAGGATCGCGTTCATCGATGGTGTCAGGTAGCTTTTCAATAGCGATTTGAGGCAATCGCTTTGTATAAGCATTCAAAATTTCCCTAATTTCGTTGTCCGTCAATTGGTCAATAGTGGCCAGAGTTACCCAACTGTACGGTCCGAACACCCTACGCAAAGCTTCGGCAATGCGATATGCTCGCAACGGATACGTGTAAAGGTAGCCTTTACGAAAATACGGGGTAATGCCTGTTTCTGTGAGTGATCGCCCAGCTCTGGCTCTGCCGACGTGACCTTTCTTTTCCTCACCGTCATCTTCGTGATCGTCATCGCACCGGGTTTCGTCAACGGACGCGACGTCGTTGTCGTTGTCACCGCCGTCCTGATCGTCGCGAGCTTTTTTGGCTGGACCGATCGATGAAACTTTTTTGGCTGGCCTGGTCGATGAAGCTTTTTTGGCTGGCCTGGTCGATGAAGCCTTTTTGGCTGGCCCGGTCGATGACGTTTGCGAGCTGGAGACCGTTGCTTTTGCAATTGCCTTCGCGGTCGACGGAGATACCCGTTTACCCGTGCCTAGGATTTTCGGGACATGCTTCGGTTTCGGCAAAGACGCTGCGGGCGGTGTC